AAAAACTTTGTTGTACCTCCAGGAATAACAGCAGGAATTGAGTTTGTTTTCTTGATGGCTGCTTTCACCGAATCCATGATGTGAGCCCGCATACTGTCCAATATCGTGTCTGTCCAAGATCCGTCATGTCGTGTCTGCTACCAGCTCAAGCAAAATGGCGCTACACCTTCGGGTAAGAGCCCCCACCTCCGGCTAAAGAGGGTTAGGTTAGGGCCATCGACTAACCATAGGCTTGATTAGCTCTATTGTTCATAGAGGGTCATGTGACCCATCACCTGACTTATTGGTTTGGATGCTGTGGTTCTTAGGTGTGGTGTTATGTGKATGTAGTGAATGCAGGTGGGGCTCAAAGTCCCCTTAACAGTAGAGCTAATCAAGCCTATTGWTAGTCGATGGCCCTCTTTTGCATGTGACTAACCTGTTTGTCCATGTGGAGGCGGAGCTTATAAGGCTGAGTTCACCTGAATCTCTTCAGATTGAAGAAGTGGAGGAGAGACGAAACGTTTCACTAAAGAAGAACCATCCARAGGACCTGCTGATTTTTTCTATTTTTCTACCTGGAGATGTTTTTAATTTTATTTTCTCAGATCACTTGTCAGGTCTTACTCATGAATATGGTGGCAGGAAGAAAACTTAGTTCTCATGTTAGAATATGGACTGTAAGCATTTCTCTAACAATTCATTGTGTTTGTGGCTGTGTGCAGTGAGGAGGCCATAACTCCAGCACATGGAGGCACTGTTTGGTGATTTTAGCTGTGGGGGCCGCTGAAGGAGGGTGGCCAGAGCTTCTTTAGGGCTAATCAGATCCAGTGGAGACAGAGTCAGCTGCCTGCATGTTATTTTTAGCCTCAGTCCTGCTGATGGCAGTTCAGCTCTTTTGATACACACTCTAGCTCACCCACATCCAGCTTTTTGGATGGATATTTATAAYTGCTGCAGCTGTCTGCACAAGTGTGAAGCTCCTGCCAAACTACCAAAAGATTCTTTGTCTTGTGAAAGAGTTTAAATGTTTTTTTCCCAATTTTTTTTTTGTTTCTTTTGACTGCGTGTTCCTATTTCAATTTTGATTTGTAAGATGTGTTGGTTAATGATTCAACTACTGCATTGTGCTTACTAAGCAAGACACCACATCTGTCAAGTTAATCCTACATTTGTTTTTTATYGATGAACAACATGCATGGGGTTAAGTAAAAGGTTTATAAAACAAATGAATTCCTGATACAAACAGATCAATGCAGAACTATATGTGCATTTTAGAGTTCCTTTTAAGGTTCTTTTATTTGTTTTTAAATCGTCACATGGCCTTGCCCCATCTTACCTCTCCGAGCTTCTTCACCCTTATGCCCCTGCGGTTTCTCCGGTCAGCTGATCAGTTGCACCTTAAAGTACCTAGGACAAAGCGAACCCTCAGAGGGGATCGAGCATTTTCAGTTGCTGCTCCAAAGCTCTGGTATGAGC